TACACCCAGCAGCGCTGCTGATGCCTGAATGGTATGTGGAATGAAGTGGGCGGGCATCGGGAGGCCACTATGGCACGGGGCAAGCACTATGGGCAGTCTATCTGAAGTGTACCTGGCGTATAAGACGACCCCCCACTTGGAGGCATATTTTTCAGGGCCAAAAAATCGTCTTATACACCGGCAAATACGGTATATAACTTTCCAAATTTTCTAAATCAAGGATAAAGACATATAACAAACACATTCCAAAAGGAATCAATCCACTGCTCTATAAACCTCATCTTAACTTAAGTCATTTCATCCAGGTATTTAACATAGGAAAGAAAAGTTCAGCACATCCAGAAAGTATTTACTCCCAATCGGTGGTCTTGTAATGATGAGCTTCATTAAGCAATGCCTACTTGCACCATAGATACCAGATAGATGGAAGGGAAGAGGAAAGAAAAAAATAAACCATGTTTCTCATAAATTGTTTTACTTAATGTTTATTATATCATTGACATTTTTAACAAGATCTTTGCTGATTAGGTATTATTACTTCTACTAGAGGCCCAGTGCACAAAATTTGTGCACGAGTAGGGTCCCTAGGCCTGACTGGTGATCAGGGCCGATTGGGGCCTTCCTTTGTTCCGCCCCGCCCCCTGGGGGTCAGAGCATGTCATACCGAGCAATCAAACTCCCAGTCTCTCCGTAGAGCTCCCAAGGGGATACTTTGCATATTAGCCTTTTATATATATAGACTAGAGGTCCAATGCACAAAATTCGTGAAAGGGGCTCAGTCCTCACAGCCACAGTGGCTGACTTCAGCTCTTGCAGCCGCGGCGGCTGCCTTGGCCCTCACAGTCCCAGCTTCATCTGGAAGGTTGTCCAGAAGGACATCCAAAAGGATGTCCAGTCTAATTAGCATATTGCACTTTTATTATTATAGAATTTACAAAGAAAGAAACTATGTCACAAATAAAGTTGTCAGATAAAGTATACCCTTTTAAATTTGCATTTCAGATAAACAATGCATTAGTATGAGTATTTCTAAATTATTGCAATTACCTGGTAAGTGATCGAATCAGCATGCAAAACTGGTTTATTTGACTCCGGCACTTATACACATTATGCCTCCAAGCATACAAATAAAAGAAACAAAACAAAACAAAAACAAAAAATCATTCACAGGAAATAAAACATTATATTTATAAAAATATAAAATTATATTTCAAAATTATATAATGAAATCAGCCTAATCTATGTGGGGGGGGGAGTAATTGTAAGGAAAGTTGTCAGAAACCAAGGAAATATTTTTTATTTTTTAAGCTTACCTGTCTTCATCTTTCTCTTTTTACATAGAAATGGTAAAATACAAGCTTCTACATTTTCAAATTTATAGGTAGAGTTATAGGTGTCTGAGAAATTAAATGGTCCTGTCTCTAAACCTCAAATCCTGATTTCTAAAAGAAAGTGCTTACTGGGTTCAGCTTTGGCCACTCTCTCCCACTCTCAGTGGCTGAGGAGTGAGGTGCCTCTGAGTGGAGGGCTTGTCTTCAGGGAAGGAAGGAGGAATGGTTCATGGCCTAGGCAGATATGCTACTGACATCTACTGCATAGACAATATTCTTTCTCCCCATTCCCTGGGCCATTTTATACACATAGCTGGTTTAACACAAGATATTTCTGAAAAAAGTATGGAGGAGCCCTGCGTGTATTCAAAATCCAAAGATCTCCTTCTGTACACACATTGACAAATCTGTTCAGCATCCCAGCTCAGTTCTCCAGAGTAAAATTTTATCCTACAAATGATCTCATTTCCAACACAGCAAAGTAATTAGAATGAGAAATTATTTGTTCTTCAGTATGTATTGGAATGGGTATTAGAGATATGGCTAAAGAAATACTGAGGTATATGCAACCATAAGCCAATGTTTGGGCTCTCATACTGCCAGTATGGATAAATAAAATTGGCAGAGTACCCCCAGAATTATGTGCCAAATGATTTTATAGCTTCAGAACCAAACACTTTAGCTATAGTCGGCAACATTTTGATACAAGTCATAAAACTAGGTTCTTTGACAATATAGTGGATACTTAATTCATATCAATTGTTCAATTCTTGTGAATAGAAGAAATGACATGAAGACAAGAGAAAACATGCAAGCAACTTGCAGTTTGTGAACAATATGTGGGTCAGCAGTTTTTAAGATGTTTTTGGTCCTTTGACCCTTTTGAAAAGTGGATAAAAGCTATAGTATTCCTTTCCAGAAAAAATATGTGTACATTCCACAAAACTTATCATTTAAGTGTGATGGAGGTCATGGATCACCCTGTATTCTCCATTGTCTTCCCAGATTCCTAATATGGGTCTTCTATCCCCAGTGGAGAATCGGGAGACCTGAGTACTTGGTTTAGGTATCACTTTATTTTTTAATTTTTTTAAATATATTTTATTGATTGTTTACAGAGAGGAAGGGAGAGGGATAGAGAGTTAGAAACATCGATGAGAGAGAAACATCGATCAGCTGCCTCTTGCACACCCTTTACTGGGGATGTGCCTGCAACCAAGGTACATGCCCTTGACCGGAATAGAACCTGGGACCCTTGAGTCCACAGGCTGATGCTCTATCCACTGAGCCAAATCGGTTAAGGCTTAGGTATCACTTTAAACATTTGTAATCATGGGCATATTCTCAAATCTTTCTCAGTTCTTTTACCAGCTCATTTTACATGTTATAAATGCAAGAAGTTGAACTAGAAGATTTTAACATTACTTCCATCCTCATTGAACATATATTTATGTATTCACTACATACTGTGTATCAGCCACTGTGTTAGATGCTGAGTATAGAGAAATTACCAAGATGAAGTTGCTTTCCTCATGGAGCATGCATTCTATTTGGAGGAGGCAAAAAACAATAAATGAATAAATTAACAAAATAAGAACAGATTGTGTCAAGTACTATGAAGAAAATGAACATGATGTGATAGAGAATGTGGTGGTCAGGGACCACTGAAGGGTGGGATCCTGTGGAAAAACCATTTTAGGAAAGGGAACTTGAAGTGTTCAAGAAAAGAAAGCAAGCCAATGTGGTTACAGCATAGTGAATAAGCCAGAGGAAGAGTTACATGTGACAATGTTAGAAACATAGGCATGACCTGATTAAGAAAGATTCTATAGACCAAGAGAAACAGATTACATTTTATTCCAAGCATAATGAGAAACTCTCTAATAGTTTTAAACAATGGAATGATGTGTTGTCATTAATACTTTCAAAGGTCACTCTGGCTCTTCGAGTTTTTTTTTTCAGGATGACAAGGTGAATTCAAATGGATTTGAAATGGAAACTTTCAGCCAGCAGCAAGAGGGAGGTCATATTCAAAAAGTGTATTTGTGAGAGCTATAGGATTCATATAGAGAACTGTTTAGTAATTGGCTGAGATTATAATGCCATGTGGAGCCAGGACATATAGAGGAGAACTGAGACCCAATTTAACCATCACCTGGGAAGGTTCAGCCCATCTGTATAAGAGGTAATAAACATACTCCCCCTACTGGTCCAAGAAAAGAATACGAAAATTTATCTTAGGGATACAGATGTAAACAAACAAACAAATAAAAAAACAAAAACACCTATCATGAGCTCTAAGCTAATATAGTATGCAGTTATAATATCCAAATTCATATCTTACATGCAGAAATTTAAAACTGAGAAATATCTGGTTCCAGACCAATAACCCCCTTGAGGTAACTGGTGGAAAGAAATTAATAATATTGAGCAGGAAAGAATTCTACACTCAGGACAAACAGGACTCCCTGGGGTGGGGGACAGTGAATTCAACACTTTTTAAGAACTGACAATAAGCCCATAAAAACTTAGAAATGAAATGAGGAAATTATCTTTTTAAGTGAGATTCAGCAAACAAATTGGACAAGAGAGTTATCATGACCCTAGATTTTGGATAGTAGAACAATGTGGAAAAGACCACAAAATTTATTCATTAAAAAAATGGTTAATGGTTGAAAAGTTTCAAAAATATGATTAGAAGGCAAAATGAAAGTACAGTGGGGCCTTGACTTACGAGTTTAATTCGTTCCGAGACGGAGCTCGCTAAGGAGCTTGTTAAGGAGTTCATTAACTCAGATTACTCTATCACTCAATGCAAAAAGACAGCTGGTATCTCAAAAAACTTGTTAGTAAGGACACTCGTAAGTCAAGGCCCCACTGTAAAGGATACTGTTAAAAATTAGCAGGCAGAGTTGAAAAGTAATCACTTCTAGAAATGGTTTATTAAATTATATGTAATGTAGAAGTTGAACAATAAATCAGGTATAGATAAATCTACAGAACTTACTTAAAATGTAAAATGGAGAAATAAACACATGGAAAATATAAAAGAGATGTTAAGAGACATGGAAGAAAGAAATAAAAAGTCCAACAAATACATAATAACTATTTTCAGGTGGGGAGATAAGAAGAAACCCTCCAACCAAAAAAAAGTCTTAAGATTTTTAGAATTGGTAAAATACAAGAATCCTGAGATATAAGAAGTCCAGTGATTTGTGATCAGGAAAATTAAATCTACATGCAGGCATATCCATACTTAGACAGAAAAGTAGGTTTCCTACAAAGGAATTGCCATTGAGAAACTGTGTGTGTGTGGGGGGGGGGGAGGGGGGTAGAAGATAATGGACCAATAACATAACAATTCTGAGGGAAAAATAACAGATGTAAAAATATGAGTATTGTACTACCTAAATGACCATTCAAAGCTGTTTTGACTAAGAACACTTAGAGACTTTTACTGAAAGAATTAGAAAAGGCATACTTCAATGAGAAGAGAATGCACCCCAAAAGATGGACAAATATATAAGGAGCAATAAAAAGTAATTGGCTAATTGCATGCATACAAGTCCTTTGGTTGCTCTCTAACTCCCCCCTCCCTCCCCTGCCATTTGTCTCTGGATTTATTCTTGTACATCAAATTATGTTGATCATTATATCCCACATATGAGTGAGATCATGTGATATTTACCTTTCTCCAACTGGCTTATTTTGCTTAGCATGATGCTAACCAATGGACACAGACACTGGGGCAATGGGGGCTTGCCTGGGGTGGGAGTGGTGGGGTGGGGGGATGGGGTGTAGGAATCAAGCAGGGAAAATGAAACATATGTAAAACTTTAGACAATAAATAAAATAAAAAGAAATTGGCGATTATTGAGGTAAAATATAAATAGGTGTCATTTGCAATAATAGTAGTAATAGTAATTTTAAAAGGGTTAAGACTATGTTAGAACTAACTGGTAAAAAACAAGGATTATGAAAGAGGTGTGATTAAATAAAATTATTGTAAAATCAAAGCAGTAGCCGAAACCGGTTTGGCTCAGTGGATAGAGCATCGGCCTGCGGACTGAAAGGTCCCAGGTTTGATTCCGGTCAAGGGCATGTACCTGGGTTGCGGGCACATCCCCAGTA